TCTTATACACATCTAGATGTGTATAAGAGACAGGAGAACGGCAGAGGGAGAGAGTGTGAATCTGAGAAGGCAACGATTCGAGCTCTCTCTCTCTCTCTCTCTCTCTCTCTCTCTCTCTCTCTCTCTCTCTCTCTCTCTCTCTCTCTCTCTCTGTGTGTGTAGTGTGTGTGTGTGCCTGTCTGTCTGTCTGTGTGTGTGTGTATGACCCACCAACACAAATCAGTAAAGCTGAGCATGAGCTGCTCGTATGGACTCGAATCACGATATTCTCGAGTGAGATCGAAATAATGGCGGGGGGAAGTCTGCAATGACGGGGGCTGAAGAAGCCAGAGCTGGCGAGGAAATGTCAGCACAGGGGGAGGCGGCGATGGGGGGGGAGAGATAGGTGAATCAGGTGCAGACAGATATTGCAACAGGATGTTGACAGATGGAGAGTGAGAGGGGGAGGAGGAGGAGGACAAGGAGGAGGAGGACAAGGAGGAGGAGGAGGAGGGAGAAGAGGAGGAGGAGGAAGAGGAAGTGGAGAAAGGATAAGATCGCGGTTTACCTCTTTTTTCTGGCAGAATACACATGCTCCTAGTGCAGATTGGCATAGTGTAGACGATTCGCACATGCAGGATGCAAATCGTACATGAACCACTCCTATGCATGATGCAAATCAACGGTGACGAGTATTCAAATCGCCCTCCATATACGTCATCCATATCCGAATACGTGTCCCTCATATTTGAATCTTCTACAGCATTCTAATTGTCTACATGTTTGTAGTTCCCTCCAGACAACATGAGGTGCATGGCCCCTGCGCAAGGATGATACAGAAATCAAGAAATCATCCATGTCGTGGAACTTCCTCTTTCAAGGGGAGCTCTTCATCGCTCTGACGACGGAAGAAAATGGTTAAGACTCTTGGCAGCTTCCAGCAACCCGCAACCGCCACACCAGCCGGCGCACCGACTGTGAGTCATCCGCCGCACTGGTGGTTTAAACCACCAGTATCTACCAGGTTCTTAGGCCTCCTCTGACGCAAATGAATGTAGACTTTTGCAGTAGGCCGATTCATCCACCACGTTAACACCTAAAACCGAGGGGGAAGAATCGGCCTACCACGTTCTTAGGTGGACTTCCAAAACAACTGAGAAAATAAGTGGAATCGAAGGAAAAGCAAGAAAATGGGGAAAGCATGCTGAAACTTCTTTCCCTTTCTGTATTTCCATCGAGCTCTTTTATTTTGGCTTTGGGCGCAAGGCTCCCCACCTTTGTGTGGTAAAGCAGAAAAGTGCCTATGTAGTATGTACCCATTTCCTTCCAGTTCTTTTATTTTGGCTTTGGGGCCAAGGCCCCCCCACCTTCGTGTGGTAGAGCAAGAAAGTGTCGTGCCTACGTACCCGTTCCTGTAATAACAGCCTGTGTTGTGCACTACTACAGGTGTGATAAAGAAAGGAAGGGCAACCAGAAGCGTTATTTTGTCCCAAGCTGGGAAGAGAGACGGCAGGTGCAACATGAATGATATGGAGTATAGCAGGACAAACTAACAACCAGATTCTTAATGCAACTCACACAAAGCAGTCATGACAAAATGAATATCAAATTATCAATAGGCCTGCCCTCTGGCAGGAAAAACGGCATACAGCACAGCTGAGCACACAGCTACAGCAGCATCCTTCCCAAGTGGACATGCTGTGTCTAGGTGCAGGTACACATTGAACTTCTCTGCAGATACGATTTCAGAACGCATGTCAGCACGTTTAGCCCGACCGGTAAAACTTCCTCATGTCCCTAATCTGCAGCAGAAGCATCCTACCAGCACTTTGAAGTTCGAAACATAGTTCCGCTGGTGAACTCCAGCAGGTAATCAAAGATATGCAGAAAGTTCGTTTGCGAGTATATGCCTGTTTCGCAGTACGGGCAATTGTGCCCTGCTAAACTGCTGGCTGCTACCAGACGGCACAGGGCACAGTCACCACTGACAACAACTGGACAACCAATCTGAATCAATAAAACTCGGGCATCTCCACGGCTCTGTCATTATTTCAAAAAAGTTCACGGATGTGCTCAACCTTCTAACGACCAGAAAAAAACTCCGCAGGGTCCGACGTGCACATTCCTACAAAGGAAGTTGCAAGTTGAGGGCTCTTGAAACTGATCAACTCGTTATCTACCCATGACCCTGCATGTCCATGCAGACAGCTCCGATCGGCGATCACGTGTTGATTGATTTGCACAGCCATTGCAAACACATTGAGGCTGTAGAGCTTCAGGAAAAGAGATGAACGCTAATCGCAGTTTTGATCGCGCCGCGGAAAATAGGACTTCTATTCCTGTAGCTAACACTATGTGGTAACCAGCCAGAGGATAATACCAGGACCAGGTGGCTGTGTGCTAAGGGTCATGCCTTGTAGGAGGTGCTTGGATGATGCCGCCATGCGAGGTGAGTGTGGGTCCCAACTGCAACTGTGCATGAGTGGGCTGGATATCGCGACCAGTAGGATTCCACTTTCAAACACCGCCGAGTTACGGTTCCTGCGGTTAAGGCATCTGGCTGTTGATCCGTACCAAGTGCCAGTTCTATTCCCTGCAAGGTCGATCCAGAGAGTTGGTACAAAGACCAATGCTTCTGTGTGCTAACTAGCCGGGAGATAATACCCAGACCAGCTGACTGCGTGCTGACTGCCATGCCCTGTAGGAGGGTCTCGGATGATGCCGTGTGGAGAGAGCGCAGGCTCATACTGCAACCGTGGAGAGGCATGGCTAGGTGGCTACGTGTTAAGGGCCGTGTCCTGCGGCAAGGGTCTCAGATGACTCGGTATAAGGAGAGTGTGGGCTCGTACTGCGACTGTGGAGGGTTGCACTGGATATCACAAATGATGTGGTTCCACATCTGAACACTGAGCCACGATTAAGGTGTGTGGCTGTTGAGCCCAAGATTGCCTGGTTCGATTCCTTCCAATGGTCGATCCAAAGAGTTGGGAAAAAAATTCCTATGCTTACCTCAGAGTTGTGAGGCATGCATGCTTACCTCTATGGGTATCGATCAACAAGATCAGAGTTGGAAACCCGTTGCGGCATGATCATATCAGAGGTTGCCCCTACTCCGAACGAACATCGTGTTAATTACTGGGCACGTGATCCTCTCCTCCAGAACATCCGGCTAACACTGGGCTTTCTGCACTGAGATGGGCACGGAATGGGGAGTGTCAAACTCCAACACCCGGGCTAGATGAGAAAAAAAACAACCAGCCAACCACAACCACAACAGGCTTTCGTGCAGAAGAAATAAGAGCTCCGTTTCATGGCCTTCTTACAACCCAAAATACTAGAAAACAGGAGGAGGAAACATGCAGACAACTTGGATTCTGACCTAGGCAAAATTCCCGCGGGACATGATACAGATCAAAGACAGGCAGGCATGGGGAATATAGGCCTCGCTCAACCCACTCGCCAAATGTGCAAAACGCGAATGAATCTTCCGGTAGAACACAGAAAGATTCACTGCCAATTTTTTTGTCGTTGCGCATTTCGTGACTGGTGGAGTGAGGCCATATGTCTATCGAATATTAAGAGAACTGCAAAACGTGGAGAAGAATGCTTGTCATCATTACCTTACACAGTTAGGTCCAACTGCCTGCCTGGCAAACCGCCTTGGAATGTAGCCTTGAAACGCTCACAAGCAACCCTGCCTGGCCAATCGCTTTTTTTATCCCACAATGATGTATTCTTCCTCCACTGTGCTCACAAGCAACACTACCTGGCCAATCGCAATCTTTTCCCACGATAACGTATATTCTTCCTTCACAGTGCTCACAAGCACTGCTGCCTCGTCAATCGCCATCTTTTCCCACAATGACGTATGTGTCCTTCACTGTGCTCACACTGATCCTACCTTAACTTCCAGGTCCCACCTCTCAATCCCATCCAGAATCCTCCGACTGGAAACCTTTCTCCAGGATTTGCAGCAAGAGGCCTGACCGATCCCCTTGCTGGACTGCATGAACAACCTCTTGCTACACCAATGTGCAGAGACCATGCCATCCCATTCCATCCTGATGACTCTTGACAGCGCCGCGCACACACATGTGGAGCAGCCCATTTCTTGACTGCAAGTCGCTCAACTGGATAATTGAGCAACCCCTCCTCAAGTGTTCCCTACAACCAAGGTCGCCCTGCATGCTCTTTCAGGTGGGCTTCAGCCTGTGGCCTTCCATATATTCATTAACCATCTGCTCTGAGTTGGGATGAAGCGACACGGAGTCGAGTCCAGTATAAAGTAAAGCAGTACCTTCACCAAGAACAAAATCAGCTTTTCTGCTCCAGTTGTTCCCCCTTGTGCACCTCAAACCAGCCATGGCGCTTTAGGCACACCCCTTTCCCACAGAAATAAAAAGAATTCACCAGTTAGATTTTGACGATCATCTCTGCACCAAGATTTAGATCCGTTCGAGTCTGCCTCAGGCATAATCACCCCTCAACCTTGTTGGCCTGATGTCTGAGTTCTCTCAGAGTCTTTCCGAGATGTAAATTCCCCTCTCAGTTCTGCCTCACATGTTAGCTCCTGTTGAATCTTAATACATACAGATCAAAGTAAACTGTCACTGCAGCCTCCAACATCAATTCCGTGGGCCCGGTAGGTCTTCGACTCACAAATGAGCTGCTGCTCAATCTCGCATGGGGTTTGTAACTGTGTGTCCTTTTCTTTTTTTCAGTCTTGTCACAGAGGCGAACACCCTCCGAGTCTTGCCTCAATCCAAGTCGACCCAAGGTTCTCCATCAAGCTGAGTTCGTTTTTGAAAGGCTTCCTCCGAATATGGAATCAAATCTGCGGCCCCTCTTTGTCTTTGCCCCACTCTCAGTGCATTCACATCTCCGCCCATTGCAAGTGCCCCGCTGAACCTGGCACCCAATGTGAACCGCCTCTGGGTGTTGCCCAATTCCAAGTCCCTCCTACACCTCGGTTAAGGTATTGAACCCCAAGAAAAGATGCTTGTACCAAGGTTTCCATGAATGCATCCGCCTGTACTTATGGTCACATCCAACCACCCCTAAGGGCATACTCACACTAGGGCTTCTCCGACAGAACTTGGCCATGATCGGATACATCCTGGAAAGTATGTGTGAGATTACCACTCACCTCATTCTCGGTCATCACTGAACCCCCATCAAGGGCATACGCTGATACGGAAACTGTTGTAAACGCATCTGCTTGCGCTTCCGCCCTCACTCAGCAGAAAGAGTCTCGCTGTGAGCATGAGCTAGGTGTTCTAGCGGGCCTGAATTCCATCTCGAGAATTGTGCATCTCGCTTAAGGCCTCTGGTCTGCGCAACCCTGCCAGAGCTGGTAATTAGCTTAGTCAGTTGCTGTTCACCCTTTTTTTTCGCTCGGTTAGGCATCCCTGCTAACTCTTTTGCTGGTAGAACATCCACACCCCCTCCAAGGAGCATAACACGCCTACCTGCCGCACTCTCTCAGCTGACTGCATGTCGTGCCTTTCCATTCCAACAAGCAGCCTGTGCGAGCCGTCGCCCGGTCACCCACCCACCCACCCCCTCAGAACCTCTTGCTCAGGACTCCACCTTGCTGGACAGTCCTGTCAAGAAATCATACGATGTGGCAGAGTGTGCGACCAACCACCCATGCACACTGGAATGCCGCATCGGCAGAAAGATTAATACTACAAAATTTCTACAAAATAAAAATACTGTTCACTTCGTTTGCGTTAAAATGGTTCTAGCCACAGCTCATTCTGAGCTGTTTGCAGAGATGAGCTGTTTGCAGAATCTGCAAAAAGAAAACCCTATCCGCATATGGTCAAACCTCCATCACAGTTGCCAATTGAATTGCCCAATCGTAGTCCGAATCGAAGGGCCTGTCCAGTTCACCTATTACATGTTACTCTCTCTTAATCTTCTTCCATGCGTGAAGGTTTTATCATCCACTAAAACCATCCATGCATGAACACTTTATTGTCTATATTCTCATTAACATTCGGCCCAATTCTGTCATCACAGCTGAAGGTCAAAGATGCCCTGCACACTTTCCCTCACCACCACTTCCAACTCTCTCTCTCTCTCTCTCTCTCTCTCTCTCTCTCTCTCTAACACACACAAAACCCGCACCATTTGCGGATTCCAGTAACGGTATGCAAGATAAAGACATTTCAATCAGGAATTCAAAATCCCCTCACCACCCCTCCATCCCCTCAACTGCGTCTGCTCATTATGCTACCATGCACGGGATCCTTCCTTCTCTAACCTTGAACCAAAAAATAGTTTGCAGCTATGTTGAGTGCCTCCAGAAGGCTAACCGTGCACTTAGAGCGCGAGTGAACGTTGGCACTACCCCACCACCCTCTCCTGAATCTGATTCCGGTTGCCGCCAGAATTTGAGCACATGCAAGCTCTCTTCCTCCGTCCTCCGCTGGATCATGATTTTCGATGCGAAGCCCATCTTGTTCATCTTCCGGCAAATTTCCCCCGGATTGTTTGCTGTAAGCGTCACCATGTAAAACCAGCCCTTACTCGACAGCAAGGAGTCGACCTGTGCCAACATTCGGTCAATGACAACTCTTCCTCTCTCGCCCCCAGCCCAGGCGGCAGTGACGCCAGGACCCCCAACCTCCTCGTCAGGGGTGGGAACATAAGGTGGGTTGAAAAGCAGCAAGTCCACAGCACCAGCGAGCCTCTTATCCAACCCTTTCAACAAATCTGTAACAATGACATCTGCTTCTACATTGTGCGCAGCAAGGGTTTGACGTGTCACGTCAGCAGCCTGGGGGTTCAGATCTGTCGCAATGAACTTCGCCGCACCTGATAGCCCAGTTATTAGTGCAAGGGAGGTAATTACATAACCGCTGCCGCTTCCCACCTCCACACAGAGACTGGGCAGGTGATCCTGCAGGTGAACTTGATCTGCTAGCAGTGCATCTACGAGAGCAAACGAATCATCACATGGCTCATAAACATCAGGATGCCTGGCCGTCAGACGGATGTCCGCTCCTCGCTGCATCATCTTCCTCAAACAACAATCACATCCACCACATTAACATAATCCACACACAAGTTGGCATATGTCCTGGTCAGAAAGCATATCTTCACACCATCTCCTGCATTCAGAGTTCTTCATCTTCTTTTCTCCATTTCCTCTCTCTCTCTCTCTCTCTCCACCCCGAACATGACATGCAGGCCTTTGGTTTTGGCTTGGCTCCCTATATTGTGAACGTGGCCTTCCAACTTGTGTCCAGGTGCCACCATAATGCCAATCCACATTTTCGTTGACGGACAATCCCCTACACTTTTCTTGGGCTGATAGTAGCCTGATACTGACCAATCCAGAACAAAAAGGGAGATGTAGAAGGGCTGGTAGGACATTTTCAATCGTCAAGGGCCTACTGGCACCCCACAATCTATTTTGTGGCGGAGCACTTCAGCAATGATTCAAACTTGTGCCATTTAGTCACAACAAAGCAGGAATTCACACATTCGGTCGCAGTTTGATTGGCCAAATGTTCAGTGAAAAACAGGGTATGCATAAGCCCCGCAATTCCTTTTATTTTATTGTTTTTAATATGTCCAGATGAAGTCTGAACACCCCAAGTGTGAAAAACATGGCGCACGCTTGGGTCACACACATACCAATGTCTAAACATCCCAAGGGCGAAATACATGGTGCACGCGTGGGTCACACACGTGCCCAGAAGTCGAAAGGCCTCACAAAGTACCTTTGAACATCTGATCTCTGCATTTCTTTGGGGGCATCGTGTGTTGAGTGTCTGAAGCCCATCAGCACACTATCTCTTGCCATCCATCAGGTCAACACAGGCAGTCGCAATGCGTTGCCGACTCTGCACAACCATTGGCGCATCACTGCGCCGCACCCCATCACACCCATACATTAGAACACGGGACACAGGACAAACCATGGTGTGGACGAAGCAGGTGCCAAATTGGTCCCATCTCAGGAGGAATAAGGAGCTTTTATTCTTTCAGGGATGGGATGCACAACCCCGCAGCAGAAAAGTGAACTCCCCCATTTCTAAAGTTCATTCTTGTGCAATGATTCAACTCAGCTGAGACTTCGGCCGCTGGGCCTGCCAGTTTGGCTATAGCACATGGGACTGCGACCACTGGAACTCTGGGACCGGGACACAGGACACAGGACTTGTGTGGGACATGAAATCCTTTCACTTGAGAGCTTTCTTACCATATCCATTGTCATCCGGGGGGCAGGAGGTTTTCTATGATGCCGACCTCTACCACGAATGGGCTTGCTTTCATTATCGCTGTCACTGCCTTGCAGATCAACCACACATTCCATGCTACCTGTGCCGCGACTGCACGATATGCAAAGCCTGTATGCAAAATGAACAGCCGAAAAGTCTTAGTTAGAATACAAACAGCGAGAGGACAAGGGGGGCGATGGCAAAAAGAGCAGGGTGGGGGGGAAGGGGGGGGGAAGGGGGGAGAGAAAACACCACTTCTGTGAGAGAAGAGGAGGGGAGAGACTACAATTCGAAGAAAGTTGCACATATAAACACAAGCCCCTCAAAATTGCCTTACCACATAGGCTTCATCCTGCTTCCCTCTATCATTCTCTCCATTTACAGCATGACATTTACAGCATGAGTCATGATTCATACATTCGCACAGCCATCTACACCGCCAGGGGTTCACTATCCACATGCACTTGTCCGGATTCCTGTCTCGGTCAAGGGACCTGGGACAAAGAATTTCTGAGGTGGCCTGGCTTGGCGAGCCGCCGCCAGGGGTTCACTAGGGGTTCCCTATCCACATACGCTGGCCGGATTCCTGTCTAGATCAAGGAAGGGACCTGGGACAAAGAATTTCTGAGGCGGCCCAGCATGTCGAGCCGCACCCTAGAGCCCCCTGAAAAATCTGAAAGGAATTCTTTGCCGCACCTGACAGCACCCAAAAATTTGTACGTGTTTCCCCGAAATTCTGAACCTCATGATGTGCAGCTGATGTGCATGACGAGGTATGTTTAGTCGAAGTCGTTTGCCTCTCCAGTGTTGTTCATTGTGGACATCTTGAACAGCATCTGAGATATCAGAAGGAAAAACAAAAGAGCATCAAAAATGTCTTTCGGGAATCTGGAGGTCCGGATCCGCCCGGAAACCGAAGCATCCCCATTTTGCCAGTCAGCCGCCCCACGGGCGCCTGGGGCAACAAGGGACTTTTCATCCAGCCTAACCACGATTTTATGGTCACTCCCGTCTCCACAACTCGCACTCGCACACTCTCACAACGCACTCGCACACTCCCACAGCGCACTCGCACACTCTCACAACGCACTCGCACACTCTCGCAATGCACTTGCACACTCTCACAACGCACTCGAACACTCTCACAACTCCACAGATTTGTGTTCCTTACAGCTACCCAACCGTGCTCATGCTTGTCATAGATGACTCGCACTCGCACACTCTCACAGCTCCACCTATTTGTGTTCCTTACAGCTACCCAATCGTGTTTCGTCCTTCTTATAGCTGTTATCGTGCCACAAACTACATCCTCCACACTCCGCTGATCAATCACGTAATATGTGCTTGCGGCACAAAAACAAACAGAGAAGCAAAGTGAAATTATATCCAAGGGTCCTTCGAGACACCCGTTAAAAATTGGCAAGATACAGAGAAGATTAGCATCGCCACTGCACAAGGATGAAACGAAGGAAGACAAAACAAAACAAAAAAGACATAGGCAGGAACACAGGCCGCTTCTGAGCTGGTCAACGGAGAGAACATGAAACCCAAAGCAGAGAAAAACAGATACCTCTCGGGGACTCGTTTATCATTGTCCCCTGCGACGCTGGGTACAGGCATCTTACCAAGTCGCCCAGGTCACCCCAGCCAGCTCAGAGGACCCGGAATTTTACTTCTTCGGATCGCTTATGAGGGGCATTACTGGGCCCTCCAAAGCCAGCCCCAATCCGGGACTTCGGTGTTTTTCAGAGTTATCGGCAGGGGGGCGGGGAGAGGAAGGGGGGGCCGGGGAGAGGGGGGCGAGGAGAAGGGGGGTTAGAGACGAGTTCAGAAGGGTTTAAAGGGGTGTACCTTAATTTGATTTTTTTTATTTGCTTTTTATTTTATCTCAAAGGGTAATATATCTCAGCACAGCGTTCCAGTTTCGTGTTTACCCATTCAACCTACATATCCTTTTTTCTTCGTGAGGAAACGCATATCTCATTCTCTCTTCTCCTCCATTTGCACTGCTATCCGAAGAAGACGCATTCGGCTCGTCTACTATACACGATGCGTGACGTCGATGACGACAACAACAACAGTGATGATAACGTGCATCGTCCAACGAAAGTGTCAAGCATGACTCCATCGTCATCGTCGATCCATCCACCCAACGGTTATTGGATCATGACGAGGACGTCACACCGCACATCATAATCCGTCATCCACACGCAATGACGACATGGTCGTTATCCTCGTAAGTTTCGAGTGCTAACATCATCATCATCATCATCATCATCAACCTCAAATAACGGTATCATCATCATCAACCTCAAACAACGGTATCGGGACGTGGTTTCACCTGCCATCATCATCATCATCATCATCATCATCATCATCATCATCATCGTCATCGCCAATAACGGTATCGCTGTGTCTGCACAATTTCCATAACTATCATCATCATCATCATCATCATCCGTCCTGATGATGATCTGATGATGATGACATCGACACCACCACCACCACCACCCCCATTATCATCGCCGCTACCATCACAAACGCGATCATCAAGACAAATCATCGCCGTCGTCATCATCATCATCGTCACTGTCGTCGTTGTGGTCGTGGTCATCGTCGTCACACTCTGCTCGTCTAAACACCTGTGTCCTCAGTTTTTTTTTGGGGGGGGGGAACACGATCCTCGATTGGTGCGTGACATCCCCCCTTCCTGATTGCCCAGGGCCCATGCTGGTTAATTATGAAGCTTCTTCCCTGTACGGTTCCGATTTCTACCCCTTTTCTACCGGGGACGGTGAGTTCTTAGGGTTTTTTTTTTTTTTTTTTTTTTTTTTTTTTTTAAACGAGTTCTTAGTTTCTATCGCTGCGATTTCGGCATTTCATGAGCAGGCCTTACAAGGTAACAGCAAAAAAAAACTAAAGAGAAGGTTAGGAGTCGTCATGGGCAACAAGATTTTGCTCATGAGGGCAAATTATTCGTAGCAACCCTTCACTGGATGTATCCAGCCGGGAGAAAGAAAGACTCATCAAGGTGCGCTCCCCCGCTTCACCCACAAAAATTAATTCGGCGTATCCGCACGGGAGAAAGAAAGACCTATCAACGTGCGCAGAATCCCCCTTCTTCACCGCACAAAAATTAATTCTGCATATCCCATGTACCAAGTACAAGTCTCCCCGCGAACAGATTACGTACTTGTATTCGAACGTGAGAAAAACAATGCATTCGAATATGAGAATACAAAAAAAAAAAGAAAAAAAGAAAAAATGAGAATACAAGTGCATAGTCTCCCCGCATGGCGCTTGTATTCGGACATGAGAATACACGTACATGCAGGTAGATACTTTGTATTCTCGAATACAAGTACATCGTCTTCCCGCGGCGAAGAAGACAAGTTACATAGTTGTATTCTCGAAAACAAGTACATCGTCTCCCCACGGTGAAGAATACAAGTTAGATAGTTGTATTCTCGAAGTAAGTTCTCAATACAAGTTCCCCGCGGGGAGACTATGATAGTTGTATTCTCGAAGTAAGTTCTTAATACAAGTTCCCCGCGGGGAGACTATGTACTTGTATTCTGGAGCGGGAACTTGTATTCTTCCCCGCGGGGAACTAGCGGGGAGACTATGTACTTGTATTCTGGAGCGGGAACTTGTATTCTTCCCCGCGGGGAACTAGCGGGGAGACTATGTTCCCCGCGGGGAGACTATGTACTTGTATTCTGGAGCGGGAACTTGTATTCTTTCCCGCGGGGAGACTATGTACTTGTATTCTGGAGCGGGAACTTGTATTCTTGCCCGCGGGGAGACTATGTACTTGTATGCTCGTCTTGGCCATCTGTGCTATGTACTTGTATTCCGGAGCGGGAACTTGTATTCTTCCCGCTGTATTCTGGAGCGGGAACTTGTATTCTTCCCCGCGGGGAGACTATGTACTCGTATTCTGGAGCGGGAACTTGTATTCTTCCCCGCGGGAAGACTGTGTACTCGTATTCTGGATCCCCGCGGGCAGACTATGTACTTGTACGCTCGTACTCGTATTCTGGAACGGAAACTCGTATTCATCCCCGCGGGCAGACTATGTACTTGTATGCTCGTGTATTCATCCCCGCGGGCAGACTATGTACTTGTATGCTCGTGTATTCATCCCCGCGGGCAGACTATGTACTTGTATGCTCGTCTTGACCATCTGCGCGGCCCAGGAGGAGCCAGCCAGTTCGCGTCTCTCGAATGCAACTTACATTCAAGTAGATACCTACTTGTCTTCTCATCTTGACCATCTGTCCGGCCCAGGAGGAGGCAGCCCGTTCAAGTCACTCGACTACAAGTACATAGTCTTGTATCCCCGATACAAGTTAGTTCCCCGCGGGGAGACTTATGTACTTGTATTCTCATCTTGACCATAGTCTCCCCGATACAAGTTCCCCGTGGGGAGACTCCCCGATACAAGTTCCCCGTGGGGAGACTATGTACTTGTATTCTCATCTTGACCATCTGCCTGGCCCAGGAGGAGGCAGCAAGTTCGAGTCGCGGTGGTCTGCCCTTCTGGATGCCTACATAGTTCTTATTTGCTTCTTTGTTTGGGTGGGTGCACCTCAGGATTCTTACCCTGCCGAATGTATTGGTCTTTCACTCCCCTCCGTCTCTATTTTTTTTTAGCCGCATTGCAGACAAAAGAAAAAACAAAAAGCCTCCTGCCAGTGACCGCTGAGCAAGAGGGTAGGTATCGTCTCTCGCAATGACAAAACCCGGAGCTTCAAAAGAAAAGAACAGAAAGAACCCGGAGCTACAAAAGAAAAGAAAAAGAAGGAACCCGGAGATACTTCGTTGCGCTCGGTAATGCTCCAA